ATCAGAGTTTCGAAGTCAGCTGAAGACTGAGGTGGTGGTGGTGGTCATCTTCACCAGTGCTCGCCAGTGGAAAACTACTCTTCTCTCAAGAAAAGACAAAGTAGAAGCGGAACCCATTCTCCACTGATGAGTGGGCAAAAACAAACACACAAACACAATCGGACATTGGAATTCCTGCCAGCCATCTTCCACAACCAATGATCCTTATAAGCTGACCAATGACCCATTCTCATTGCAGGCTAATTAGCAACCACCACAATCCATTCCAAAGGAGCCCAATCCTCTCAACTCTTTATTATCATATGATAGCATGGGGGTAACGAAGCACAGAAGTAGTGCACACACAAAAGCAAATGGTCACCGTGGAAAGAAGAGGCTTAAAGTGTGTGGTCAAAATGGCAGAGAATGGAGGCAAGGGCGAGAGGAGAAAGAGAGCCAGAAAGTTAGTGGACCCAAAAGCTGTTTTGAAACACACCGGCGGCGAAGGACAACACGACGACACAAGTTTGAAAGATAGAACAACTGAATAGAACTGTAGACAGAATGATCGAAAGAACAACAACAAAGCTGAACACTTGGAGGGGTTCATGCAAAATTGGTTAGGGTGATGGTGGTGGAGGAGAAAAAAGAAGCTAGGCTTGAAGATCAGAAACAATGAAGAGATTTAGGAAAGAGAGATGGTGGCACAGACACAGCTGTTGCTGATAACCCTCCTACAGCTTCCACGACTGGCGCATCATCAGGTCGAAGTACATGTCCTCGTCCACCGAGGCGCTGACGCCCGAGTAGTAGTCGTGAAATTCGTCCCTGGTCAGCTGTGCATAACAAATGAAGATAAGTTAGGTATTTAGAAATGGAAACTCCCTTCTCCTTCATCCAAACCTTTCCGTCCGGAGTGCCTTCCTCAAACTTCTTGAGAAACTCCTCCAGCAGCTGCGTCTCCGTCTTGTTGCCGTTCAGGTACTCCGGGTGGAGGCGAACATTGTAGACGCCCTTGAGATCGTCGATGGTGACCACGCCGTCGCCCGTTTTGTCCAGCTTGGCGAAGGCCTTGTCCACCAACTCCAGGCGCATTTTGCTCATCGGTGGCTAAAAACGTTGGTGGGTGGGCGAGTGAAAATAGACAGAAATTAGAAATCGAAAACACTCGAACTAAAAGATCATCAAAAGGTGGTTGACGAAAAACTCCTTACCCGAATGGCGCGCAGAAACTCGTCGTACTTCACCGTGCCGCTGCCGTCGCGGTCAAAGACGGTGAAAAGGGCGGCGTACTCCTNGCCGCTGCCGTCGCGGTCAAAGACGGTGAAAAGGGCGGCGTACTCCTCGTCCGGAACGACCAGGCCCATGTCGTGGAGGCCGTTCTTGAACTCGCTCAGGCTGAGGTCGCCGCTGCTGTTGTCGTCCATGATGCGGAATGTCCTGAAGAAGATTGATTAAGTGAAACAACCGAAACAACTTCACCCACTTTCTCTTTACCTTCCGAGGGCCATGATGCCGGTGGTGCCGCGC